TTTACAGGAATCGAGAAGGAGAGAGAAGGAAGATCGAAGGTTGAAGGATCTAGAAGCGAATATTCTCCCGCGAGATTATTTGCACAAACAACCATGTCTCCCTCTTTCCAGGATCTGACGCCATGACAGCCCATATCCTCTCTCTTAGTTGCACCAGCTAACCATCGATACCCATCTTAGCCAAAAATCTAGATATGCGTCTTGAGTGTTACTTTTTAGATTCATAGGTTTTGAGTTTGCTAGTTTGCAGCCTCAGCACTGGAGATTCATGACAAGGAACGCCATCACCCTCTGCCAAAAGTTAATTTTAATTATTCAAGGTTTGAGATTTTTCTAATTTATATTTTATGTTTTTCGTTTTAATTTTGTGGTTTTCAACTTTTTAATTTCTGTTTTGAATACGCTCCCCCCAATTTTTTCGTGTCGCATTAGTTTCTTCTTCCCCAGATTTCACTCTCTCTTTCTCTCTCTCTCTCTCTCCTAAACTCAGTCTCACTCTCTAACCCAAAACCCTCTCTAGCTCTATCTGACTCCAAATCCCTCCGATTCTGTCTAACTCGAAACCCTTTATCATTCTTTCTCATCTAGAAATCCTCTTGGTTCCCAGACCCTCTCACGACGGCAATCTCAAGGTAACCCTAACTCTCTCTATCACTCTTTTATTTTCCAGATTTTATCAAAAGGCTCTTTCAATTTAGCTTTGCGGAACCTCACGGCTGCACTCTCAAGTTGGTTTTACTAAATTTTATGGAACCTCACTGGGTATGAAAGCTCCAAATTTTTTCAATTATTTCAATTAATGTGCTAGCAGATATTACAAAGTTTCAAATTCTTTCAAAAGTTTAATTTAGATTTAGATTTTTATTATTTAAATTTTGCAGAATCTAATGGTGCTTTGGTTTGTTTTTAGAAGAGGTGCCATGTGATTGGTTGAAGTTGTAGAAAAAGCTGGGTGAGAGGACGGTGGGAGAGAAGTAAAAGTCAGCTCCTTATACACTTTTTTTTATTTGCTTGACCATTTTGTTTTATTTATTTTTCTGCTTAGTTCTATTTGTATTTTTCGAACCTGACTTGAGACCTCCTGTTGGGTTCTCTAATCTCAGCCACCCACTTCACCCATTTTCTCCAATTAAAGCTTCTTTGGTACATGTAAGTATACTTAATTTCCACTTGCATTTAGGCCGAAGTTGTTAAGTTTCAGTTTTTTCAGAAAATGTGACTACACACGCATGTTGACTGTTAATTTTGCACAGGTTGTGGGTTAGTTTTGAGGTATAATTACATGGTTTTAAACTATACATATCCAGGATTGTAATTTGGTTGAAGTTTAATACCTGAGTTTGGTAAGTATGGCTACAAAATCTGTCAAAAACAGGGGCTGCACTTTCAGGTTTGAAACACTTACTTTGGACTGCCTTATCTTAAAAATTAGAGCACCGTTTCTGTCAAATTTTATATGGTTTCAAAGTTTATTTAATCAACTTCAGGATGCATGTAAATTGGTAGATTTTTATGGAGTTTAAGGTGTTTAATTCTGAGTTCAAAGTTTAATACACAGTAGCTGAAATTGTGTTAGTTTCATAGATGGTGGAGCAACAACAGTTTCCTAAAAGCTCATGTCAAGACATAAGTTGGTGGTTCAATTGATGAATGTCAAGGATCTTAGCATAGCTCACGTCAAGAGCCATCTTCAAGTAATTAATTTGATCTAGATTTCATGATCTTAGCATAGTAAAATTCAATACCGTGATCGGAAATATATAAATCCATCAGATTCATATATCTGATTTATGTTCTTTTTTCCTGGCTTTGATTAAATGTATAGGAGCAAGAAGATAAAGACTCCAATCAAGGTAAACTTCATTTTTACACACAACTACCTACTTTATCATAATACCAGAAACATTAACATATCATATATTCTCTGTTTTTTGTTATTAATTTAATAACAACACACAACTACCTACTTTATCATAATACCTGAAACATTAACATATCATATATTCTCTGTTTTTTGTTATTAATTTAATAACAGCACTTATAGTGTCAATTTTGCAGTCAGAATATGATGACTTGTCTATTTTGATAGGATCATCGCTTGCTGTTTCTTTCATCGTTTCTGAGATTTATCGAGTAAAGGATTTTTTTTTTGTTTGTTTGTTTGTTTATGTAGCTGTTGTAGCATGGAAATCAGGGACGCCAATGGTGATTGAAGGTTTATAAAGAGCCATCCATGTATGATAAATTAATGACACTAGGATCTAGTAAATATGTAATAATTTAAATGTATTCATACATTTAAGTATATGGTTGTATTTTAAATTATTGTATATAGATACTGTTTTAGTGGATGTACAATTTCTAATTTGTTTTCAATTATTTCTTTTAATTTAATAAACCTCGACAGCTGTTATTGTCAAGAAGCGCTTTTTTTTTATATATATTAGTTTTTTGTTCTTGACGGCTAAAATCTGTCAAGTAAGCTCAATTAAACATCAAGAAACACATTAGTTGACAGTTAGAAAGCGTCAAGGATGACCATAAGTTGACGCATTTTCACATTTTGTGACGGTTTTTAATTGTCAGGGAACACTATTACTTGACGGGTAAAAACCGTCGAGTATGTGTGTACCCCTTTAGTGACACTGGTATTCCTGACGCTTTTTGAGCCGTCAAGAATCTATTTAGTTGACACTTTTTAACCGTCAGTAAAGGCTGTTTTTCTTGTAGTGATCATAATATGGTGGGAGGAGTCATTTGGTTAGTTTTGAGTGAAATTCAATCGCTAGAAGTGTGGAATACACCAACCACTCCAATTAGGAACGAACTACCGTTGAACTTGAATTATCCAATTTCGAACACCTATTGATTTCGGATCTAGCCCAAAACTTGGGCAATATTATAATATGGTGGGAAGAGTCATTTGGGGAGTTTTGAGTGAAATCCAATCGCTAGAAGTATGGAATACCCCAACCACTCCAATTAGGAATGAACTGCCGTTGAACTTGAAATGTCCAATTTCTCACACCTATTGATTTCGGATCGAGCCCGAAACTTGGGCAACATCATAATATGGGGGTTGGAGTCATTTGGTGAGTTTTCAGTGAAATCCAATCGCTAGATGTACGGAATACACCAACCACTCCAATTAGGAATGAACTGCCGTTGAACTTGAAATGTCCAATTTCTCACACCTATTGATTTCGGATCGAGCCCGAAACTTGGGCAACATCATAATATGGGGGTTGGAGTCATTTGGTGAGTTTTCAGTGAAATCCAATCGCTAGATGTACGGAATACACCAACCACTCCAATTAGGAATGAACTGCCGTTGAACTTGAAATGTCCAATTTCTCACACCTATTGATTTCGGATCGAGCCCGAAACTTGGGCAACATCATAATATGGGGGTTGGAGTCATTTGGTGAGTTTTCAGTGAAATCCAATCGCTAGATGTACGGAATACACCAACCACTCCAATTAGGAATGAACTGCCGTTGAACTTGAAATGTCCAATTTCTCACACCTATTGATTTCGGATCGAGCCCGAAACTTGGGCAACATCATAATATGGGGGTTGGAGTCATTTGGTGAGTTTTCAGTGAAATCCAATCGCTAGATGTACGGAATACACCAACCACTCCAATTAGGAATGAACTGCCGTTGAACTTGAAATGTCCAATTTCTCACACCTATTGATTTCGGATCGAGCCCGAAACTTGGGCAACATCATAATATGGTGGGAGGAGTCATTTGGTTAGTTTTGAGTGAAATCCAACCGCTAGAAGTATGGAATACACCAACCACCTCATTTAGGAACGAACAGCCGTTGAACTTGAATTGTCCAATTTGGAACACCTATTGATTTCGGATCTAGCCCAAAACTTGGGCGACAACATAATATGGTGGGAGGAGTCATTTGGTAAGTTTGGAGTGAAATCGAATCTCTAGAAGTATGGAATACAACAACCACTCCAATTAGGAACGAACTGCCGTTGAACTTTAATTGTCCAATTTGGAACACCTATTGATTTCGGATAGAGCCCA